AATCTCCTTATTTGCTACATTAAACATGTCATAAAAAACTTAAGCATCGGGATTTGATATCTCATCTATGCTAGATTGATTAAATGATGGATCGATTGTATCTATTATCATTTTTTCATATAGGTTGGAAGGTTGACTATAACTCCTTTCACCTTCATGAAAATTTTTTGACACAACATAGCTTTTAGAGTTAACTTCTCTTTTGTGTATCTAGTCATAATATACGAGCATAAATTATATCTCATTAAATGGTATTTAAGCATGACAACCTCTTTAAAATTTTGATTTCGACACTTACGGTGATTGTAAGGATACCTTAACTTTCTTCCGTCCATACATTTAGGATGAGTAATAGCAAATGTAGCAAATTATTCATCCTCATTCATGAAATCATCATTTAAATACACATCTATACACCTAATATACATCCATTCACGATCGCATCTCATTATTTCATTTCGCATTTTGAAAGCAACATTAAATTATTTAACTAATAATTTTCTTAAACATCTAATAAAATTTTGATAAAATCTCTTCTATAAATTACACATTTCTCAATTAAAAAATACTTCAAATGATTACATAAATAACATATTAAATCAACCAATAATCAATTTACATATACCGAGACCAACAATTCTCTTGGATACTCCATCGAAATTAAATTTCAAACTCATCCTTTTAACTCCATCGTAAAACTGATTGAACTTACCTTATTTCTCCTCAATTCCCGACAATCTTTGACCCCTCGTTTTCGATACATTATGACATATCTTAACACACTTTAATAATTATATATGGAATAATTAAACTAGCTAATTCTAATTCTAACCTAATTAATTTAAAATAACAATAAATTAATAGGTTTTAATATAAATAAATTTTTAATTCAAGCAATTAAACATGATTAACCCGACTAATTAATTAAATATCAAATTAACTTAATTAATTCTAATTCTAACCAAAATAAGTTTGAAATAATAATAAACTAAAAATTTCTAATATAAATAAAGTTTTAATTCAAAATATTAAACAAAATAACCTAATTAATTCACCAATTATAAATCAAATTAACTTAATTAATTTTAATGCTAACCAAATTAAATTTAAAATAACAATTAATTAACAATTTCAAATACAAATAAACTTTTAATTCTAACCAAATTAAATTTAAAACAAAAATTAATTAACAATTTCTAATATAAATAAATTTTTAATTCAACCAATTAAACAAAATTAACCTAATTAATTAATTAACTATATATCAAATTAACTTAATTATTTCTAAATCTAACAAAATTAAATTTAAAATAACAATAAATTAACAAGTTTTAATATAAATAAAAATTTAATTCAACCAATTAAACATAAGTAACCAAATTAATTAGTTAAATATAAATCAAATTAGCCTAGTTAATTCTAATTCTAACTAAATCAAATTTAAAATAACAATTAATTAAAATTTTTAATATAAATAAACTTTTAATTCAACTAATTGAACAAAATTTACCTAATTAATTAATTAATTAATTATAAATCAAATTAACTTAATTAATTCTAATTCTAACCAAATTAAATTTAAAATAATTTTTAGATTAACTTAATTAAGAAAAATCAAAAAATTAATTAACAAATTTAGCCTAATTGATTTAAACAATTAATTAACAAATTTAGCCTAATTCAATCAATTAAACATAACTAACCTCATTAATTAACTAAATATAAAAAAAGCTTAATTAATTAATTAAAATAAATTTAAAATATAATTAATTAACTAATTAACCTAACAATTAACATAATTTAACAAATTAACAAATTAATCAACCAATTAATATAACAATTAACAAAAATTAACAAATTAATCAATAAAATAATAATTAAATATATACATAGTCATAAATTAACCTAACAATTAAAACAAATTTCTAACTTTAATCAAAAAAATAAATAAGAGAAAAAAACATACCTAATTTAAGTGGAATTACACATGGAGAAGGGGAAAGGAGGGCTTTTTTGGGAGAAAATATCTTAGAGTGGGTATGGATCGATTGAGAGTGGAGAAAGTGGAGTTTGGTGGTGGTTTGGAGGAGGTGGGAGAACGATGAATGCTAGCTAGAGAACGAAAGGAAGAAAAAAATGAGAAAAGAGGAAGAACAAGGTTAAATTAGGACTGAAAAATAGCGACGAATGTGATTTCCTCGCCGATCCATCACTCTTTAGGGATGGACACTTACGTTCATTGCTAATCCATATCAAAATGGGCGACCAATTTCGAATAGCTAACCGTCCATTTTTTTCTCATATAATAATGAACGTAATTGTCGGTTTCTAAACCGTTGTAAATTTGGCGACATATGTCGATAATCCATCACAAATTAGGTAGTTTTATCTTTCAAAAAGTTAGCCTAATTTTTTCTAAATTCTCAACTTTAGTGACAGATTTTTCATTGCTAAATTACAAGGGATGTGTCCTTTAGCGACTCCACCCAATTTTCCTAAATTCCGAACTTTAGTGATAGAATTTTTATCATTAAATTATGAGGGATGTGTCCTTTAGCAACGGAATATCCATTGCTAAATCGTGACAATAAAAATAGTGATGGATTTGCTATTTCGTTGCTATTTTTTCCTATCAAATCTATTACTAAATCGTCTCTAAAACTCTCGGAAAAATTTTATAGCGAAATTTAGCAACAAATTAGTGTCATTGCTAATAAATTGTTGTTATTCCATCTCTATTCCTTTGCTAATTCCAACAATCATTAATATATTACTATTTATCGTCTATTTTACGACAAACATATGTCTCGTTACTATTTAGAGAAATTCTAGTAGTGCTAATTTTTAGGAATTGGTGACCATTATCCATTGACTTTGAAAATATAAAAAATAATAGAATAATAGAAAAAAGAGAGAGATAAAAAAAAAAGGAAAACAAAAAAAAATACATAGAAAATCACTAGGACAATTATAATAAGTCTCTTATCTAATTGGAACGAGATGTTATCATTGAATTAAAACCTATCACCTTAGTAATTAAGATGTTCTCCAAGCATACTAGTTATGTCGAGATTTAAGTCGAATCCGGTATTGAATTGACGAGGTTCCTAATGACAAGATTCGATTATCGATTCAATATAATACCAAAAACTAAAATAAAATAAAAAAAAAATCAATTGGCCTAGGAAATAATAGACTTGGAATTTTGACTTGAGAAATAATTTGGTGAAAATAAAAATTTTTTGGCGATAAACTTTTAGGATTAAACCAAACATGGTATCTTTCTTTAGAAAGGGTGCCTTTGGATGATTGATATATTTCCAAAGACATAACCAACTACTTACCTTAGAATCTCTAAATCAGTTGTCTTTTTTAGATTTTGTAATTCCTTTAATACTAGGTGTGGATTTCAAAATCAATAATAATTCACATCTCCGATAAATAAACCAAAATAATAAAAAATATTAATATAATTTTTTGGAAGTCCCCTAAATGTTGGATAGCAACAAACTTGAAGAAAATAATAAGATACTTAGAAATGTAGATGTTAAAATGTTGGAACATGATATTAGAAAGATTAATTGGTTCAATAGTATCTTGTACCATGCATTGACCATAAACTAATACCTAAAACTAAAATTTTTTCAAATCAAGTATCGTAATTATTTTTTAAATTTGTAATCAAGTCTCATCAATTCCGTTGACTAAAATCCGAACACACATGGCAGTGCAAGCAAGAGTAAAATGATCAAACAACCCTTGTACTTATTTTTCCCTCCTTTGTTTTATTTTTCCCATGCCTAAATTAATGATATTCAAGAAACCAAATCTCTATGTGACATTTCATCAAACACTTTTAAGACCATAAAAGGCCCACCTGGATTTTGCCTAGACCTCTATCATTGTATTACAAAAATACATATAAAATCCAAATCTCAAATTGAGCAAATACAGTCCATTCAACCCAATTGATAACTTCAATTAGCTTTTATATTAAAGCAATGAGGACTCCTATATTGCATTTTGTAAATATGGATGTCGATTAATATTTGAATTTTAACAAACTTGCAAATAGAAGTTATTCATTGGGTTGAATTGGATAGCATTAGTACTAATTTGGATGCAATACCAAATTGGAAGCACAGGGTGCAAATTGAGTTTTCATTCAAACACGGATGGAAAATGGTAGTTTTCTCTAGTAATCGGGATGAAAGGGACTCGAATTGTTTCTAAACATTGGATAAAACAGAAAAATATATTTTCATTTGTCAAAAACCACAACTCCATCTATACACTTACAAAGTTTTCCAAGCAAGAATCGGGATCTCCATATTTTCGATTTAGGGCATCTATTATGGCGATTACAAAGCCGAAGCGAGAAAAGTCATTTGTCTCTTGATCATGTGTACCATTCAACAAAATAGCCTAATGTTGGAGAGAGCTAAATAAGTACAATCATTCAAAAAAAAAAATTAGAATTTCGAAATTCAAAAGTAAAGGAAAAGAAGAGAAAAATATTTGGTGGTTTTTTTTAGGTGCTGAGTGAAGTGAGTGTAGTAGTAAGAGAAGACCAAGAATGAGAGGAGAGAGAGAGATTCAATGATTTAGGTTTTTTTTTTTGAAATCTCATCTTTTTTTTTTTTAATTTAAGTGTGGGGTAATTTATAATTTTATTTTGTCAAGCTGGTCGAAAAAATCCATGTGTCTTTTAATTATTGGTTCATGTCAACATCATGTTGCCAACAACATGATGTTGACATGAACCAATAATTAAAAGACACATGATGTTGGCATGATCCAATAATTAAAAGACATAGAAAAGGCTTCTAGACATATTTTTTATTACAAATCAAAAAATAATTATGATAATCGAAGTGAAAAAAATTTAGTTCGAAGTACAAATGCATAGTGTAGGGTACTATCGAACCAATTCACCTCTTAGAAAACAAACAAGAGAATTAGAATAGATCCAAGATGAAATATCAAGGAAAATTGGTAGGATGCCTATGGATTCATCTATTGAAACAGAATTAGTAGAAGCTCAGGATCAACTGCATAAAATAGCCCACCTCATAGAAGCAAATTCCAGAAAAAAATCTAAAAATGTAAGAAGATCGAAAAGGAGGATCTTCGCCAAGACTTTCCTATGGAACCGTTCTATAGATTTAGGAAGCATTAGGGCATTTGCTAATAGTATAACCAAAAGAAAACAAAAAAACAAAAACACGCACGTAGTAGATCCTGTGAATCTATTCCATGTCTCTCCAGTCCAAATTCACACATTTATGTATGCTATGTGAGTCCATAATAACACAAAGGTGCCTGGATAGAATGGATTTGTGAAAACAGATTCATTCTATTTTTTATCATGAAATACTTAGATGACAACAATGATCAGTAAGCAATTCTCATTTCCCGTTCAGTTTGTTGCAGGTGAAAGGAATGTCAGAATTAGTTCATTACTTGTCCCCCCGAAAAAAAAAAAAAGGACCGTATTTGCCTAAAGAAATCATAATTGATGAAATAAAGCTCCCCGCAATGAGTAATGGAAGCTAGAAGTACCGTAACCAGCAAGAAGATACCTTATCAGAAAAAGAAGAAATTATACAATTGATAGCCTTTATTTCGCACATGAAAGGAGGTTAAGGAAAGTGTTTGCTAATGCTCTGGCCGCTTGCCAGCAACACAAGATTTAATTATCTGAAAAGCAAGATATACTCCGCAGAGTGAAACTTGCTTTGGAAGATCTAGTTCCAGATCAATTTAGAAATATATTTTCAAGCTACATGCAATTGCAGGATGTTGAAGACCTGTTTATCCTTCGCAAAGGAAATACAGTATACGACACAGTTGATCAATCAAGTCAAGGAACGGATATTGCCTATGCTAATCAGCTTGCTAAATCCAGTAACGTAGATTGGTGTATGCCAAATCTGAAAACTTACTTGCCTGCGTATACTTTGGTACAACAGGAAGCAATCAAAAAGAATCTCAACTACCTGGAAGAAGAGTTTGAAGAAGTCCACAGGTTGATTATATACTAAAACATCAGTCAGAGCCAAAAGGATTCAAAGGCCTCAAGTAATATTTAGAAACGCCAACCATCAAGACCTATGTCTCTCCAACAATGTTGACTTCAGATTCAGGATTAATTAGTCTCATCGTTGCAAAACTTGGAAGTCCAGACACATTAGTCAGTGGATTCTTTGAGAATGGGCTACTAGACAAACTTGAACTTGGCACTACAAGTTACTGAGAAGCTACTTTACTTCCAAGATTTATTCAACAATCATTGATTGCCTATGTCACAGAATTCTGGAGATTCAAGAAGATCGTTCCGCTGAAAATCTTCTTGAGATTCTATAGCACAGGCCCAGACTGGGAAAATGATGGAGTGAGTTAATTACTTCCCTAGCTATCATCTAATTCGTATGGACTATGATGAAGAACTTCATGCAAAACCTATCCATCCAATAAAACGGAAATGGCAAGAAGCATGGATCCAAGAAAGAGAGGTGCAGAAGAGGAAGGCCTTATCCATGAAATTGATTGTCGAGTCTTTCCGCTACCTTTCTCTTGATACTTGTCCTTCCCTGCAACATCTCCAAGAATTTTGATGTTGGGAAAACGCATTTATGACAATAATAGGTATGGCTGGTATCAGGCATGACAACGAGAACTCTTTGACACACTCAAGAGCTGGTACTATGGAGAGTTTGAAGCCAGTGCTTTTTGTAAAGGGCATGACTGCTCCTTGATGCAGGGACACTTTCACAAACGCACCATCTGCCAATCATCAGGAATAGACAAAATGTCAGAAGACTATACACTTGATGATGAAGCTGTGCACAATTTATAGCATTAATTTGTTTCTATTGTAGTCGGCTTGTTTCAACTTTCAAGCATCTTTTAAGTTCCTAAATCTATCTTGTAAATACTGGTTTCTGCCTCATGTTATGAATATGAATGAAATCCAGTTTGATGCACAATTCCTGATGAATTATGCCTACCACATAAATCGTTAATTATAATACAAAATTATTCAAATAAATCACATTTTACAACACATTTCCTACTTTTTCTATATTCAAGGACTCGTTTACTGCTTAACAAAAGAAGGAATATAGCTAACAGCAGATATTGATATAGGCATTACACTCACCAGTAACCAATATCTAAGTCAATCTACTCATCCATTGGCATCCATCCTACAAAAGTCTTAACTCAAATCATTAGTAACAAGCCCTTTTTTTGTGAAATTCGCAAACTTAATCAGAGGTGGTCAAAATTGAGTTTTGCCTGCTGTGTGGCAAGGTGAAAACAGGAAAAAAATCGGGAAGAGGATCGATCAGATCACGCTGTCTGGCTTGCTGGGCAGCCATGAAGTTAGGCTCAAGCACGGGCTCAGGCGTGGCCAGGAAAACCGGCCTCGCCAGCATGTAGGCGGTATGGCCCAAGAATGAAAGCCTAGTTCGATTTTATTATTATATTTTATTATTTTTTATAGTTTTTATATTTGAAGATTCATTTCCAAATTTTTCTAAACATATATTTTTCTTCTATTTTATTATTTATTTTTTTCTATCTTTTCTAATTTTTTAAAAAAATTAATTTATATTGTTTGTCTTTTTTAGGATATACTTTCATAAAATATTATGCATTGTTTATAGTTTTATTGAAATGTTTAAACTTTCCCGTGAGTGTATGTTGAATCTCATTCTAAATATGTGTTGATAATATTAAAAAATTGATGAGTCTCCATTTCGTGTGCTCTTTCTATATTTATATTTTAATTTATTTGTTTATTCATAAGTTTGAATAATTAATTTTTTTTCTTCATTCTCTTTTCTTTTCCTAAATTAATGTAAAAAAATATTTTCATATAATTTTTTTTATTATTGTATAAAAACTAATTATAATCATAAACTTATTTTAATAAAATATAATATTAAATGTTGAAAAACTAACCCAATCCCAAGAGAAGTGGCGAAACTAAAAACATATCCTTATACATTACAACATTTATCAATCATACCAAAAAAAAAAAGACAATTGTAATCTTGTAATTAGCTAAACTATCTAATGTACCCTTTCATGAAAAAAATAAGTTTGTCAAATTCAACGTGCAAATTATTAGGACATCACATTTTATTTATGAATTTACATAAAAATCTTCGATCCTCTTATAACATGTGAATAATATTATAAAAAAATTAAATTATTGTTAAGCTTCTGGTGATAGTTGTTGATAAAGAATTTTATTTTTATTTTTAAACATAGTATATTTACATTACTTTTCTCTTTACCAATTTGAATTTTAAAATATGATTGAGGATAGTTAAGTAAAAATATGAATGAATTATCACATACAAAGCTTGTCATTGTTATATTTAAGAAACTTTTTTCTCATAAAGGTTAACTTATATTGGATTTGTTTATATAACATCAAAGTTATAATCGTATGGACATTTTTTTATAGGGGTGAAATTGATAAATATTGTAGTATATAAAGTTATAATTAAGGCTTATCAAAAAAAAAAACTATGATTGAACTCGTGACATTAAATTAATCTAAATTCCGGTCTTATATTTTGGTTAATAATATTATTCCAAACACAGATGGCAAAATAGAAGTTGATATTAAAATAATTAAAAAATTATGTGCATCCACATGGGGGTACATTTAGTGCTTAGAAAGTAAGAACTCCACCACACATAAAAGGCAAAGTTGAGACTTTGATAATAACTCCCGAAAAGGTTTTGGAGACTAGCGGGAGTTGCCTCCAGCTTTGTCCCCCTCTAAATGTGGATCATATGTACAAGTTTGACAGATTCATGTTGAAATTATCACATAGTATTCATATATGATTTTATTACAATCATAATTATGCTAAGAATTTTGTGATACAATCATGTTGAAATGTGCACACAAATTGCTAATTGGCACTGTGCGTCAATATATTTAACCAATTTTTTTTTATTTTTTAATAATGAATCGGACCAAAGGACTTTATAATAAAGAAAAGAAGATTTAGGTTAATTAATTCTACCGTAAGCTAATGGACTTTTCTCTTTTTTATTCCATGAATGATCTCTCTTTCTCTACAAGAAAAAGAATTTGAGGTAATATATTAATATTTCGTCGCGAGGATAAATAGATATAGTAGTATTTTTTAAAAAAATTAAGTTTGAATATGAATGGTTTTAAATTATTTTATTATTATATAATAAAAGAATACTGTTCCCTTTTAGGTAATTCAATACCAACAGACCTTCTAATAAAAAAAGAGTGGAATATTTCATTCCCACTTCCGAGAGAAAAGAAAAATATGAATAACAAAATAATACTTCAAGAGCTTCAGAGAAGACAAAATGGTCAAATAATTTATTCTCCATTAAAAGTCAATAATATCTTGTCGCCGACAAAACGTACAAAGACAACTAAATAAATAAACAAAAACACGAATTTTTTTTTTTTTTTTTTCAGGAAATTCGAGGAGAAAAGACTCGGGATAGAATCATGGAATATCATATAGCCCAGCAAATGCGAACAAACAACCCAAGTTGGATTCTGGTGATTGTATTTGTACCATCTGTGTGGCAGGAACCGTTTGGTTCCTCATCTATACTTCTATCATCTTATCTAGTTTCCTAACATGACTAATTAAAAGATAATAATATGCCACAAACATAAAATACTTACCAAAATCATGTCAGATGTTTATTCATTGGTTGCGGGGAGTGACATAGATTTGGACTATCTCAATTGATCCCATTTCTCTTGTCTCAAGGGCAAGCTTATTGCTAATCTCCATCACCATTGCAAGTGTCAATTTCAATTCTTATAGGATAATCTCATCTTATTTTAATGAAAATAAATTCGTCAAATTAGCATTTAGTTTATTAACTGATGTGTGATTGATTTGTGAATTCTACGATAAGGATTACATTAAATGATAAAATTCATCACTTCATGATTTGAGAAAAAATTCTAATCTAATTATGGCTGCTACGTTACCTTAGGATTTAGATTTGAAATTTAGTATATGAGTATCAGTATTGAGAATATAGGATGGCATAATACATATCTAGGATCAAATATTCAGGAACATGTTATGGCGCTAACGTACCTAAGGAGTTATCATGAAGATGGGGCAACAGCGTTAGAAGGGAAAGATAAAATTGGCTTCTTGCAAAGAAATCAAAAGTAATTGCATATTGATCGACAATTTGAAGCTTAAACATCACAAGATTTTGTAAAATTTTCAAGTCTTTTGTTGAAAGAGAGGGTTTGAACAAGTTAAAAACAGTGGTCAATTTGGCCATAAAACATGATGATGCCAGGCAATTAGTCGGTGCACACACACATACATAGACATGCGCTCTTATGTTAGCTGAGTGGGTACTCAATTGTGAATTTGATGCCAAGAGTAGGTTTATGTAAGAATTGGTAAAAATGACAAAAAGTGGTGTATTACAATTAATGTCTCTATTCAATACAATTTCTTTTGTTCGTATTCTATATTCAAACTCATATTATCAACGCAGTTGCTTAAGCCGACAAGCAAGTTCAAGTTACAATCACAACTTATTTTCTAATATTTTCGGATATATACATGTCATTATATAATTCATTATGGATGTTAATGGAGTACGTTTGCATAAAACATCTAAAAACATGAGAATCCATATGAGCTATTAGCGAGACTAAAATTCTATTAAGCTACCTCTAGAGGGGCATACCGGATGGTCTCATCCGGGAACTTGGCCCAAACAACTTATAATAATCTTATTAATTGAAACGACAGATCGAACATCTATGAAATAAGAGTATACAGTGAGGATTAACTTTATCTGACTAATGATAATAATAATGTCCTCACATTCTGCTAGAACAAGTTTTGTCAACAGTACAAGTATTTGTTCCTCAAGTTAATGACATTTACTCATAGCATGGAGGGAATAAACCATTTTGTCTCTCTTTCCATGCAACTGAACAAGATCATTGGCTATTGATATAACTAAATTTATTTTGGATTTGGACCCAACAAATTGGATAGAAAAGTGGATAAAACTCGTCAAGTTCATCAATGGTTTTTCTTAAACCTTCTTGATTGGCTTCACCTAAAAACCCATAGGATTTGTTCTATTCAAGCAAATGCTTACTCAACTTATTAAGTCCAACACATGAACTAAGCCTAACAGTCAGCCGGGCAAAGTTTCCAGAGCTCTTTCATAAATTTAGGAGAAACCAGCAGAAGATGAACTCTTAACCAGCAAAAGCTAGGAAAAGACGTAAGGAAATCATATTCTAAAGGGAAAAGTGACCAACAACAAGTAATGTACAAGTAGTTAGAAACAAAAAATAAAAAAAAATTAGTAGTAATAAAAACATGATCCAAACGAGTTAAAAGGAAAGTAAGAGATTGCCATACAAAGATAACAAAGTGGGGCACCGTAGCCCAAGAAAAGAAGAACATAGAGTACTACGACATGTATAAGGAAGAGTGGCTCATTACTAGAGGTCATGGACGAGTAAAAGGGCTATAAATACCATAGCGACCAAGGTGTAAAAGACAATAATACAACACATAGACAATCTCAAGGAGCACTTTCACAAGTTTCACACTTAAAATTTGTTAGGCAATAATTTATAAGTGATAGCTTATAGACGATAATAATTAGGTGGTAATTTATGAGCGATAATCAGTAGGTGATAACTTATAGATTGATAATTTGTTATTCATCTTTCATTCGT